TAATGCTTTACCCTCTGGCCGATTACCACAAAGCCTTGTCCATCTGTTCCTTTCAAAACCACGGCTCCATAGGGTCTTACTTCAAGAATCGTGAACGGACCGGACCACCTAGACCTCAGCTTCCTAGGGAACAGCTTGAGTCTTGAGTTAAACAACAGAACTTGGTCCCCTTCTTTGAACTCTCTCTTGTGTATCTTCTTGTCATGGAGCGCCTTGGTTCTTTCTTTGTAGATCTTAGAGCTCTCGAAAGCATCTAACCGGATCTCCTCAAGCTCATGAAGCTGTAAAACCCTCTTTTCTTGTGCGGTCTTGATGTCAAAGTTCAGAAGTTTCACTGCCCACACGGCCTTGTATTCCAACTCAACCGGTAGATGACAGCTTTTCCCATAGAGCAAGTTAAATGGTGAAGTCCCAATGGGGGTCTTGTAGGCGGTTCTGTAAGCCCACAGGGCATCGTCAAGTTTCTTGCTCCAATCCTTCCTGAATGAGTTCACGGTCCTCTCCAAAATGGCCTTTATCTGACGGTTGGAAACCTCCACTTGGCCGCTGGTTTGCGGATAATAAGGAGTGGCCACCTTGTGCTTTACTCCGTGCTTCTTCAAAAGACTCTCAAGAGTCTTGTTGATGAAATGGCTTCCCCCATCACTGATGACTACTCTTGGTACTCCAAACCGTGGGAAGATGATACTCTTGAAGAGTTTTATCACCACTTTTGAATCGTTGGTCGGAGATGCAACCGCTTCAACCCATTTACTCACATAATCCACTGCTACAAGGATATATTGATTCCCATATGAGCTTACAAAGGGACCCATGAAGTCAATGCCCCAACAGTCGAAGACCTCCACTTCAAAGATTGGGTTTTGGGGCATTTCATTCCTTTTGGATATGTTTCCGTGCCTTTGACAAGCTTCACACCTCGAGACCACTTCTTGGGCGTCTTTGAACATGGTCGGCCACCAGAAACCGCTCTGTAGAACCTTGGCAACTGTCTTGAACGTACCTAAATGACCACCATACGATGAGCCGTGGCATTCTTGTAGCACTGGATGGATCTCTTCTTCGGCCCAGCATCGCCTATAGAGATGGTCCTTGTTAAGCACGTAAAGATACGGCTCATCCCAATGATACCTCATCACATCTCTAAAGAACTTCTTCCTCTGATAAGTATCAAGATCTGGTGGCTCTAATCCGCAAGACAAGTAGTTCACAAGATCCGCGAACCATGGAAGGCTTCTTTCCTTGATCGTATTGGCTTCCTCCATCTCTAAGTAAGACCGGACTAACATGAGATGTTCCTCGGGTAAAGCATCATCAATTGGGACCTGTTCTTCAATCCTCAGCCTTGAGAGGTGATCTGCGGCTCCATTTTCAATGCCCTTCTTATCAAGTATCTCCATGTCAAATTCTTGGAGTAATAAGACCCATCTCAAAAGCCTCGGCTTAGCGTCCTTCTTAGACATCAGGTACCTCAAGGCCGCGTGATCTGTGTAAACCGTGACCTTTGATCCCACTAGATAACTCCTGAATTTGTCAAATGCAAACACAATGGCAAGCATTTCTTTTTCGGTGGTGGCATAATTTTCTTGAGCCGAGTCCAAAGTGCGGCTGGCATAGTAGATCACATGGAGCTTCTTATCTTTCTTCTGTCCCAAGACAGCTCCTACAACATAATCAGATGCATCGGTCATCACTTCAAATGGTAAAGACCAATCAGGGGCTTGTACAATCGGTGCACTGATCAAAGCCTCCTTGATTCTCTTGAATGCTTCCTCACATTCTTTATCAAAGTTGAAATCCACTTCTTTGCACAATAACCTGGTCAAAGGCCTGGCTATCTTGGAGAAATCCTTGATGAACCGTCTATAGAACCCAGCGTGGCCAAGGAAGCTTCTTATTCCTTTCACAGAATTCGGGGCTTGTAAGTTCACCATCACCATCACGGAATTCGGGCCTTATCCACCTCGATGCCTTTCTCTGATACCTTGTGTCCCAAGACAATGCCTTCTTGGACCATGAAATGACACTTTTCCCAGTTTAAGACAAGCCTATGCTCCTCACATCGCTTGAGAACCTGAGGAAGATTAGCAAGACATTCGGAGAAAGAGGAGCCGTATACGGAGAAGTCATCCATAAACACCTCAACTTTCTCTTCAATTAGATCAGAGAAAATGTGCATCATACATCTTTGAAAAGTAGCCGGTGCATTACACAAACCGAATGGCATTCTCCTATAAGCATAAGTGCCATAAGGGCAGGTGAATGTCGTTTTCTCTTGATCTCGGGGGTCTATAGGTATTTGAAAGAACCCCGAGTATCCATCGAGAAAACAAAAATAAGGGTGATTAGCTAACCGTTCAAGCATTTGATCAATGAATGGTAAAGGAAAATGATATTTTCTTGATGCAGAATTCAATTTCCTATAGTCAATGCACATGCGATGGCCGGTTATAGTTCTTTGGGCTATGAGTTCATCCTTATCGTTTTTCACCACCGTGATTCCACCTTTCTTGGGCACAACGTGTACAGGAGATACCCATCGAGAGTCAGAGATTGGATAAATTATCCCTGCCTCAAGGAGCTTTAGTATCTCCTTCTTAACCACCTCCTTGAGGTTCGGGTTAAGTCGACGTTGGTGCTCAATAGAGGACATGGCTTGGTCCTCTAGGTGGATCCTGTGGGTGCATATATCAGGAGAGATTCCTCTAATGTCAGCCAAGGAATACCCTATGGCTCTCTTGAATTTCCTTATTTCATTAAGCAATGCAGGTTCTTCATGTTCAAGCAAGCTATCGTTTATGATCACAGGAAAAGTAGAGTTCAGACCTAAGAACGCATACCTGAGCCCTGTTGGTAGAGGCTTGAGCTCAACAGGGGGTGCGTCTGCCTCATTCCAATCGGCATCAAAGTTGCATTGGCCTGGAACAGCTCCCTCGGCCTTTGCTTCGTTCTCGCGCGGTTTACCATCGGCCTCGGTATGAGTTGTCACGGCCATGATATCCCGAGGTGTCTCTTCTGTTTTCGTGGATCCCTCGCTGTCTAGGATGTTGAGGCTGCTCGTGTGGAGCTCCAAAAACCTCGCCTCAGCTCCAAGTTCCCTCGGTTGGTCCAAAAGACGCTTGTACACCTCGCTTTCTTTGTTCAAGTACCCGTGCTCGCTTTGTTCCCGCGTTAAGACCACTTGTAACGGATCCTCTGCGTTCAACTCTTCAAGGAGCTCATCAGCCAGCTCCTCCATTACTTCCACATAGAAGACCTGACCTCCAATGGTCGGTTTCTTCATCATTTCCTTCACGTTGAACTTCATAGTCTCGGAACCGATGTGTAGTTCAATCATTCCTCCTCTCACATCTATTATGGCTCCTGCGGTTGCTAAGAACGGTCGGCCCAAGATGATGGGGTCTAATGGTTCCTCGTCCATCTCAAGAACTATGAAGTCCGTGGGGATTTCTATCTCACCGATCCTCAAAGGTAGATCCTCAAGCAACCCCACCGGTAATCTAACCGATCTATCAGCTAATACAAGAGAGATCTTGGCTGGCTTGTAGCTTTTGTATCCCAATCTCTTGGCCACCGTGTAAGGCATTAAGCTCACAGAAGCTCCAAGGTCACATAAACAGTTTGAGTACTTCAGGTGACCTAAAGCACACGGCAGAGTGAAGCTGCCCGGATCGGATAGCTTCCTTGGTATAGATCTTCTTTGTATTATGGCACTGCACTCATGGCTCAGTATCACCATACCCTGGAGCTCCTTTGTCTTGTTGAGGATCGCGTCCTTTAGAAACTTCCCAAGCTGGGGTATAGCTAAGAAAGCATCTATAATGGGTAAGGTGAGTTGCGTGTTCTCCAAGTGTTTCTCAAAGACTGCCTTGGCCTTGTCTAGGATTTTCTTTTTGAAACGCCCTGGGAACGGTATCTTGGGTTGATAAGGTGGTGGTGGAACATAGGGCTTTTCAAGCTCGGTTGTCTTTTCCACCTCTTTTCCTTTGTCCTTGATCGGTTCCTTCTCTAAGACCGCTTCTTTACACGCATCGTCTGAGGCTGCCTCCCACTCTAATTGCTCATTGGCCTCAATGAGATTTGTCTTAGGCGTTGGAGTTTGTAATTCCATACCACTCCTCAATGTGATGGCGTTCACATACTCTTTAGGGTTCGGCTCCGGTTTACCTGGTAAAGCCGGGCCTCTTGATGATGTAGAAGCTTGATTCTGCTTAAGCTCTCTGATATCTTGCTGCATTGTCGCGTGCTGGCTCTCAAACCTTTCCTGGCCCTGTAACAGTTGCTGTAGTATCCCACAGACGTCGTTCCCCATTTGATTCTGACCCGTTCCCTGAATCTGTTGTTGATTACCCATCGGTTGCGGATGGAACCCTGGTGGAAACTTGTGTTGCTGCGGTTGGTTGTTGAAGTTGTTACTCTGAGCCGCTTGATTCTGCTGAGTGTAGCCGTGCTGTTGCCCACTGAACTGTTGCTTGGGCTGGAAGGTATTCTGAAAAGGAGCCTTTTGAGCATAGCTTTGTTGTTGTTGTTGAGCAGGGTATACTTGGTCTTGAGGGTTAGCGACATTCGGGTTTCTGTATGAGAGGTTTGGGTTACTGTTGTAGTTGTTAAACCGCTGATACCTCTGCTGATTCCCTATGTAATTCAGCTCCTCTTGTGTTAGACCATCTTCATTAACATTGTCAAAACTTGGCCCTTGCTCATCAAACTCGCCTACAAAGTGTATTGGCTTTTGAGTCACCATCAAAACCTTGTCAAGCTTACTCTGAAGCTCTCTTATATCCTTTTTCATGCGCTGTTCATCACTAGATCCCTCTGTACGGTTTGCTCTATCAAAGTCCTCTCCATACGTGTCATTAGACATGGCTAGATTCTCGACTAGTTCCATTGCCGCATTGATCTCTTTCCCAAGAAAATTTCCATTTGAAGCTGTCTCGAGTTGGTTTCTGATCTTGGGGAGTGCACCTCGGTATAAAGTACTCAAGAGTGATGCCTCTGAGAAGCCGTGGTGTGGGCATTGGTTAGTGTAGCTTCTAAACCGTTCCCAAGCTTCACTAAAGCTCACGTTATTGTGCTGCGTGAAACTTGAGATCTGATTCCTGAGCTTAGCCGTGCATGATGTGGAAAAGAACTTTGATAAGAACGCCAGTTTACACTGCTCCCAGGTTTCTATAGAACCCCTCGGTATATTCTTTTCCCACTGGTGTGCTTTATCACCGAGGCTGAAAGGGAACAAGCGTAGCTTGAAGCTATCTTCGGAGACGCCATTTATCTTGGTTAAGTCGCAAACCCGATCAAATTGATCTAGATGCTCGAGAGGGTCTTCTCCAGCCAGACCGTGGAACTTTGAGTTTTGCACCATATTGAGCAAGGAAGCTTTAACTTCAAAGTTGTTGTTTTGAACTGGTGGAGCTTGAATTCCAGCTCGATATTGGTGCATATTAGCTCGGTCATTCTCTCCAACACAGATTGGAGGATGTTGTCGCTGAACTTGGGGCGGTGGCGGATGAACATGATGGGCTTGTTGTTCATTTCTATTCGCTTGGTGTTGTTTTTGCTGAGCAAGCCGTTCGTTTCTTCCTGCCTGCGCCTGATTAGCCTGAGCCTGGTGCTCGGCTGCCTGAGCCTGTTGCTCCATTCTCTGTTGTTCTGCCATTCCAAGTCTGTCAAAGTGCCGTTCTCTCTCGCGAGCTCGCCTTTCTAATCTGTCGATGTTATCGTCGTATGGGAAAAGCGATCCTGTGCTCCGAGACCTGGTATTCATGCACCTGAAAACAAAACAAGAACTTGGAAAGAAGTTAGTAAAACAAAGGAAAGAAAAGCTTGAACTCAAGAACAAACAAGAGACTAATGCTCCTACAAGTTGGCAACGGCGCCAATTGATAAGTAAGAGTTTTCAAGCTCTTAGAAGGGTTATCAATCCCCTTGTCAAAGTAGTATAAGGGGTGTCAAACCAAGCTTGTAAAAGAGACACTAGCCTATGTCATTTGTTCACTTAAGTCAAGACAAGAAGGTAAAAGTTTGGTGACGATGATAATCAGGCAAATAAGCAATAAAAGTAAATAAAAAGTAGAGATTTAAACTAAGCAAGATGCAAACAACAAACAGGTGATTCAGATGATGATAATATGCAATAAAGGAAGAGACTTTAGACAAGATAATCGACTCGGGTGCTTCCAAGCTAAACTAATGGGCTAATGAATCATTTTTATCAAGCGGTTTCATTTAACTTTGAACTCAAGGCATGTTAATCTTCTCATGAAAGTATTAAACATCTAAACTGATCCTCCTTCATACCAAAATATCTTTTGAGAAGCACGAATCAATCAGCAATAAGATTCAGTTCAAATATGTCATTTAAGAGAACAAACTATCACTCTCGCGATGAATGACTCTTAAACCCTTAACCGAGTGGTTCAGACATTTCTACAAACACCTTTGATGCAAGATATGTCTCAGATCTGAACCTCAAGTGATGTGCTTGGATCCAGCTTAGAGATCTCGTCGGTTAAGGAATGAAACATGCAAGACTAGACACCTAAACCCATTAATCCACCTTGAAAGCACCCTAATCTACTTATCTATAGTCGCTTAAACGACTACTCACTGATCATAACGAGCTCACTAAGTCCTTTGCAAGACGTGTAGCTGGTCATGATTAGGAGTTTAATGCTGATAATAAAAAAAGAATAAAGAAAGAACAGGATTCAGACGTAAAAACGAGATATCGGATTAGATTAATCTGGTTTTCACAAAAGAGGCAAGTTCTTAAAGCTAAAAACAGGTAAGAGATAAGATAACTAGGTTTTTAGTCTCAAAATGTATTTATAGCAAAGGGAAAGTGTTGCGGGTCAGCCCGGAACAAACCGGGTACTGAACCGCCCTCTTGGGTTGATGGGTGAGTGCCACGGTGTGTCGGAAAGTGAAGCCGAGGTCTTCATGCCGAGGTGTGCACGTGAGTCAGGATCCGGATGAAGATCTCGTGAAGAACACGTCAAGAACATGCATGAACCCTAGTCTTTGATCCATCCTCACGTGTGTGTTCTTGAGCTACTCTGTTCTTGATTCTGGGTTCGTGACAAGGGACCTCGGGATAAAATGTTGAGGGGTCATGATGTCAAGGTTCTTGGGAGAACACAGTCCGGCATGCACGCCGAGGTCATTACACCGAGGTGTACTCTCAACACTTAGTCGTTTCCAGCTTCAGTTTTTACGTATGCATGCCTCGATCTAATAATGCCAAGGCTTTGGGACGAGGTCTGGTCCAAAATACTTCCAAGATATGAGCCTCGACTTGAGTGATGCCAAGGTAAAGATACCGAGGCTTGTGAAGACACTTAGCGCGTATCGCAACTCATTTTAGGCTTGTATCGACCATGTCACCTTCCGGAAGCGATAACTTTCAGCACACGACTCCAATTGCTCTGGGACCAGTTCCACAGTAAAGATGACTCAATAAGCTCGAACTTTAGTGAAGAAACCATCGGAGCTTGGGGAGCGGAAGGCTTCCTGGATTTCACATCTTTGCGCCGCATTGAAATTACCGGAAAATAGACTTTTAGACCGATGTGAACTCCGGAGACCCTATCTTCCAAAACTTTGCTCCGAATTGAGCGATTCCAAATGCTCTGAGAAGATCTTCCATGGATCTCGAACTTTGATGAAGACCGGGTAAGCTGGTTCGGACAGGAAAGGCTCCGTCCGCCATGATCTTTGAAGTTCGCCGTCCAGTTCTCGGGTACGCGCAAGGCTGGTGAACGCTCCGGAAGCCATATCTTTCTCTCCACTTGTCCGAATTGGATTATTCCAACTGTTCTGGAATCTTTGCTTGATTATCTCCAACTTTGGTGAAGACCCCGCCAGCTGATTCGGACCGGAAGGTTCCCCGGATTGCTGATTTCTGAATTGCGCGGGCAAGGGCAACTTTTGGTCGTAAAAACCTTCCCGCGGTAAGGAAAATGGCCGAGGGCTGTGTACTGCGGTAAGCTTTTTGGTCGTAAAAATCCTTGCCTCGGTTAAAAACTTGTCCCGTGGTATTTTTGCACTCGATACTCGATTCTGGCCGATCGGTAAGGTTTTTGGCCGGTAATGAGCATCTGGTAAACATTTTGGTCGAGGTTTCCGACCAGCCGGTACGAGATTTGGCCGAGAAATTCCTCCAAGCGGTTTTCACCATTTTTGACCCTTTTCTTCACCGTTTTCTTTCCTGTTCCTCTTCTTAGGCTCCAATTGGTCTCCAAGGCTCCTAATAAGGACTTCAAAACGTGCAAAACTCTTTGGGACCTAATGCAAGCCCTAAGTCCTATTTTGACGCCTAAAGACTCAATTTACATGAGAAAACACATGATGAAGACTCTATAATGCAATCTAAATGATGTAAAATATAGACATATCAATGATGCCATGACCCTTGTGGAGAATGTAGCTCAGAGTGATGAGCTTTATGGATCAGACTTTGACAGGAATTCAAGAGGTGCTGTGTGTGCTGAAGAGGAAAGGACAATAAAAGACATCTGGTCTCTCAGTGAGAAGCTAGATAAACTTCTCCTAGCTTCTCATAAGTCATTCAATTATGTTAGAGATGTGAATCATGTGTTTCAAGACACATTTCAAGGGGAAGACATCACAGCTGAGGTAAACTTTGTAGGTGGCCAACAAGGTTACCAAAAAGGCTTTACCTACTACAAGAATCACTCCACCCAGAACTTTCACTCTCACATCAATAACCAACATGGTTTTGTCCCTTCCCAACAGCTAAGCCTCCAACAGAACTCAGGGAATAAGAATCAAGAAGTACATAACCTGCTCCAGCAACTTCTCCAAGGTCAAGCAAGTGATGCCATGGACTTCAACAAGAAAATGGCAGAGATTACCAACAAGGTGGATCGCACTTATTGTGATCTTCTAACTCAACTTTCAACCTTGGCTTCCAAAGTCAAGACTCTAGAGAACAACAAGGGCCACTGCAGTTCTCAAGCTCAAAGATCTTTACCAGGGACATCCGTTGCACATCAAACAGAATACTGCAATGCAATCCTCTCAAATGATGAGAATCATGCTGCTGTCCAAGAAATTGAGGATCTTCTCCATGGCAATGTCTCAAGTGAAAAATGCCTGACAAAAGATGATGAGGACGCCATCATAGATGAGTTTAAGTTCCTGTTCTGTGATCTCAATGAGGACATTGAGAAAGAAGGGTGGGAGGCAACTTGTTTTGATATGAAAAAGAATGATTCTGAGATTGCTGAAAGAAAGGATCAGAGAATGGTTCAAGGAAGGACATCTGATGGAGTCTCTAATACTGTTTCAACAAGGGTGAAACCCAAATATATTCCCAAGCTAGGTAATCCAGGAAAGTTCTCCATCTCATGCTCTCTTGGAAGTTTAAAAGTGGACAATGCTTTGTGTGATTCTGGATCAAGCATAAGTGTCTTTAGACATGGTGGAGAGACTAGGGATCAAGAGTCTTAAGCATCACCCCATGTCAATTACCTTTGGAGATTCATCCTCAAAGAAAGACATATGGAATCCTTGAAGACTACCCATTGAAGATTGGTGAATGCACAGTTCCAACATATTTTGTAGTCATGAAGATAAAAAAGACCAAAGAGCTACCTCTTTTGCTTGGAACTCCATTTCTGAACACCACAGGAGCAAGGATGGACTTTGATACTCAATGAGTGGTGCTTACTAAGGTAGATGATGAAGTATCTTATCCCCTTAAACCTTCTATTGCTGGGTTTTGTGGGGTTATATCTGATGATTCTGATGAGTTGAAACGCTATGGGATGATGTATGAGAGGAGTATGGGAACTATAGAAGAAGCTCAACCCCTTGCATCTGTTGAGAAGAAGAAAGAATCCCTCATAAGACCTGATCTTGAGTTTGAAGGGGATTTCTTTAGTGATGATGAAGCTTGCTTGGAATCTCTATCTCCTACACCAAGTGAGAAGGATATCAGCAGCAACAAAGGCAATGGTTCAGGGTATCAAGACAAGAACCCAACAAGCACCAAATCATTCACTCTTGGGTCTTCTTCTGAAGTCCTAACTCTCACCCTTTGGAAGTTTGATGGTAGAGCTGTGGAATACAAGGTTAAAGGCAATG